GGACCTGCAGAGCCTGCACCACAGGTGTCTAATTACCTCTGCTCACTTCCGTAAAATGGCTGCCGAGGTAACAGAGTAAACACAGAGGGGGAGCTGGTCTGTGGTCAGGCTGTTGAGGTCCATTAGCCCTGAATTGCACCATTAAGCGGTGAGCTACTGCAATATGAGGCTTAAGACGTGGTGATTAGTCAGCCTGGCCATAGCCTGCTCTAGCTAATATGCTATGAAGGAAATGTGTGTGATTAGCAGCTCTCGAACACACAGACAGGACAGGTAGGAAGAAAATGACATGTTGCATCACTTACCTTGAGTAAACAATGTCAGTTTTGCTTCAAACTGGGAATTTAGTTTTTACAACACTGTATGCTACATAAAAAAAGTTTTTAAAGTTTGCAAGCTCACCGTTGCTATAGCTTACAAGGCATATGTTTGAGAAAGGCTAACAACTTTAGAAAATACAAATGGCTGAATGACACAACTTGGGAATGTTATTGCTTAACCTAGAATTAACTTGATCTAACCTTATATACCTTTCAAAATAATATTGTCATGAAAGTGGTTAGGGAAACAGAATGCCCTTAGAAACCAAAAGGTCACCCTCTGTGAATGCATTCCTTCAGACTGCCCGAGCAGGGCACATTTCTAAAGGCTGGTTTCAAATATTTTGAAAACTGGTTTTATGAATGGCATAAAGTTAAACATTTTCAAATACTATCAACTCCCCTGACAAAGGATCAATATCTAACAATAATTAGCTATCTATGATGCTTCAAGAAGACAAATGGAAATCACATTTTTTTTAAATTTTTTTTTTTAAACTCAGTAATTGTCCAAATGGATGTAATAAACCAAGCAAAAGAACTGCATGAATGCTGAAATCTATCCTGGGTGATTGAGTAATTATTTGTCACCGTAATAATTTAACGTTGGAAATGTCTTAGCAATAAAGAAGAAGTGAAAACAATAACGATTAATTGCATTTGCTTGGGATTGGTGTTTAATCCCCCCCAATCTGAACAAAGCTACAATTAAAAAGGAGGGGAATTCTGTGGCCGAGGAATTAAGTTAGGTAAGAGCAGTGGTCACACACACATACCATGTATACATCACTTCAGGGGACATTACATTGACTTACATGCATTTCCTGGAGACTTATCCTAGCCTTAACCATAACCAACACATGCCTAACCCTAACCCTTAACCTTACCCTAACCCTAATCCTAAACCTAACCAAGTCTTCACCCTAAAATTAATGATTCCCCGCACGGGGACCTCCAATTTGTCCCCATAAGGGCGGCGAGTCCCCACACGTGACTGTGTAAACAGATTTAGGTCCCCACAAGTATAGTAATGCTAGGCCACACACACACACACACACTAAATCCCCCCCACCATACTAGAAAGAGGCACCACTGATTTAAGAAACTGTGAACACATATCTAACCCACATATGCTCAGGAATGACGTAAACATATGTCAGATCATCCTGACACTACATGTCTAAAAAACTATTAAGTCAACCCACATAATTGGATTGTGTCATTGCCACAACCCTCCCTGTGTGTGTACAATACACTGAGAAGAAATCATGTGCACCAGAGGAGTGTGTCTTTCTAACAACACGAAAATGGATTCCAATGACAAAGGACTATGAAGTACTTGTATGTTTATAACTTCCAACACAATACAGAGTGTCTATTTCTGTACAGCAGGTCCTTTGTACTGGTATGATACCTCATTATTCTCACAGCCAGGGCAGCAACTTAGTCTTTTGAAAACAATGCGTGACTTGCGTTGTTACACTCCCCGCCTAACACCACACCCAGGTAATCTGCCTCATCTGCCACAGGAATGAATGCCTTAGCGAGACAACATGATGGAATCGGGAAAGACTTAAAATGGAAATCGTTGTGCATCATTCGATCACATGACTTAGAAGTCCAGTTTGGTAGCTCTTAAATGGTACCCTATATTAGCATAATTACAGCCAACAAACGTCTGGACACATTGTTTGCTGCAGGCTACTGTACAGCAGGATTACATCACATGCTCCGTGGTAAGCAACATATCCTGTGTTGCAACTTCTGCTCAATAACAAAAGAGAAATCACACTAATTACTCCTAATAGCCTAAACCTTTCAAAAATAAGGCTGTAAAATGTTCTGAAAATGCCACAAGAGAAGGAGAGATTTTCCTGTCTTTGCTCTGGTTAAAAGAGGTTTGAGTGGAGTGATCTCACTACATTTTGGCTTAAGACCCCAGTCTACAGATTAAAATCCGTGACCGGTTAATCCATTCCTAAGAATGTATGATCAGGTGGTTAAATGCCCGAGTGGAGAGAAATCGCTATGAGTCTCACGAGAGAAAGAAATACGAAAAAAAAGTTCCATGGTACACTGATTCGAGTTTGAAAATACACATTACAGCTCAAATTGATCTGTTATTGTTTGTGCTAATATAGTGCCCTCACCGTGCACTCCAGCTTGGGACAGTAGGGTGTGTCCCCCAGGATGTCATCTTCAGGCGGTGTGATGCGTAGGAAGTCGAGGTGATCAGGGCGTGGAACGCGGGAAAGAGGCTCCTGAGAGTCGTCGCCATCCAGCATCCAAATGTCATCCTGACGCAAGAGGGAGTCCTCTACACAAACAAAAACACCACCACAGGATGCTTCATTGTTGTGCAAGGAACCATAGCAGGGAAAAACACAACAGCATAACAGGTGTGATCATGTGTGACAAAGCTAAATAAGCAGCACTGACTGAGGCAAATTGTTTTCCTGTGTAACCTGCATGGGTAATTCAAGTAGAGCCTGTTAGAAAGCATGCATCAGAATCTTTTAGCATCAAGCAGAAGAGACCACTGCTTTGCTGCAGGCTTAAGGGCACAAAGCTATTTTTATCTGCACTTAGCTGGCCCTGTTCCCATCCTCACCACCAGCAGAAAGCTACACTTGATCAAATAAGGAAAAAACGGCTGCAGAGCTCTGGGCTCAAACACAGATATTGATTTTATTTCAAGATTTGTTCGCTGCAACACAGCCATGGTGTACTCGGCAATACCACTGTACAATATGGTGAATTGCAGATGTGAATTTGCCTGTGTGTTAAGTCATCCATAGTCCCTGAAGGAGTTCAAATACACACGTTTAAATTAGGAAATACTGCCCTCTCCTGACCAGGAAGTCTTTACTAATCTAAATATGTGTATTTTATTTTGGCTGATAAGTGCAGTGTAGGGATGAAGACTGAAAATAAAAACGTAAAACAGGAAGTACATTTTCAATTTTCAATAAACCTGCAGTTCGCTGGGGAGGTTGGATTTGTTTGAGGCTTTTTAAGAGTACTGGGACTTTAATATTTACCGCTTTGTGGCACGCTGCAAACCCAGCCTCAACCTGCAGAACCCTCCCTTAGGCACAATGCCCCGAACAAGTCACATGGTATTAACTTCAGAAACCAGGCTAGAGCCTCTCCCAGGAGTGGCAAATGTAAGTTCACATTCTTCTGCACAGAAACAAGCTATTGTGCCTTGGGGCATGCATTAACTGTCTCAAGAAAAAAGGAGGAAAAGTGCAAGTTAAGAGGAATGGGGCAGGGAAAGTGAGGTAAGGAAGAAGAAGGGGAGGGGTAGAGAGAGAGTAGAGAGGATACACATCTTGCAGATTGTTGACCTCAATTTCCCCCAGCTGTAAGACAACACCTTGGCCTGTTGGGGCAGAATTATGAGCTGGAAACAGAGAACAAAATCACTTTCTGTTCGATAAGATGCTAACATATCCCATAGCCTCCCTTTGTAATGAGTATCCTTGAAGAGGACATACAGTATTATCATCCTGCTGCCCAGCACAGCAGCCACTTCTAAAGCCCTGCAAGTCGCCTTGTGTTGCTCCCCAGAGTCTGAGCCAAACGCTTAAAATGCGGTTATGAGCCCACACACAGAATTAACTGGGAGGGGGGGGGGCTTCAATGAAATATGGAAGCATTGAAATTCAGCTTCAGTACTCCAGCCCTATCAGCTATCAGTCATTATGAAACAACAGCAGTGCCTGCAGTCCCTCCACTTATCTTGGACAGCAGAGGGAAAAAAAGGATTAGATTAATAACTTTTCATTATGATAATGCTGCGCTCTGCGGTCCCGCAGTGGGAACTGCTGACTGTAGGTTGGGACACTTCCAAAATGCAGAATTAAGCCCAGTCCAAGCCAAGGAAAGAAACAGCTCTTCTACCTCAACTATCACATCTAGAAAATAACACCTGTTAATATATGTTCACAATATCCTTTCATGATTCCCAAATCCTTACAGTTAAACATGTTGTGCGTGAGTGCTTAATAATCAGTTAGACACTTAATTAAAAGTGTAAGGTGGCCCACACTGCCACCATCTGGACAAAGAGGAAAATGTGTGCATTTATGTAGTCAAACACACTGCAGTGAAGCTCTGATGTCAAGGCTGTTAGTTAGAAATACGACATAGTTAATTAATGCACAACGCTGCAATATAAAGACGGTAAACAGATACAGAGAAGAAACTCCTGGATGTATTAGGTTTGATTGGGATGCTTAATGAAGACACTGCACTTTTACACGCAACTGACACACAGAGTTAACTGACCCTGGGGGAAACTGTGCGCATATTGCCATTAATCTCCCTCCCTGCTGCTCTAAAAGCTGAGGGTAAATCACAGTGTCTATAACTGAGGGGAAGCAGGGTGCAGATTGGATTGTCCATGTCAGTTTGGTCTGAAAAAAAAGAAGTAATTTAATTCCAACTGGAACATCCCAACCCGAGATTGCAGCAATTCGTCAAATACCATCTGACAGATAATGCACTGCCCTTTAGTCAGTGTATTTTAAGAGAGACAAGCAGCACAAACAGGTGTTTCTTTAGATAGTCCCTGCATGTGCTGACCGGCACACCGTGCAGTAAGACGTCAGTAAATATCACAGCGTGTTATTGAGAAGCTGTCACACTGTTTATGTGCTACTGTAAGCATTATGAGTTGAACAATAAAGTATCTGTCCTTCCCTCGGATCAGAGGCCATCTGATCCTGACAGGTGGGTGTCGTCGGTGGTCATTAATCCCCCTCTCACTCCGTCAGATGGGAATCACTCATCCAGGGGTGAGAGGAAGTTTAGAGGAGGCTGTGTCAAACTAAACAAAGCAGACGTGAAATCACTCAAAGGGAACTTGATCATTTCTTTCATATGAATGAAGGGACTACTGCATGCCAGACTAGGGCTTGAAAACATTGTTTTTTAAGCCTCAGCATGAACTCAACCTCGTCAAATTTCGTGATTCACACGTTGTGACAACTGGGATATTGCACTTTTTTGTATTAGTTGAAAGAATCCGTTGCTTGGCCCCCCCCTTGGAATTTTGTCAAATTATTTTTTTAATTCAACAAGTATTTTTTTATAGTCTAGCATTTATTGTTTATACAGAAAGCAGAAGAAAAGCAGTACTGTCTAAACTTACATTGCAATTAATATTGTTATAATGATATTCAAAACCTTATCAGATATTTTCCTCATATCATGTAGCCCTAAGCCAGAAAAATAACTATTTATATGCATAACTGTATCTCTAAATCTAGAGCTTTCTTAGATGAACACTAGTCTGTCTCCTCTGGTGCTACAGTTGCTAATTCTTATTACAGAACCTCAAACAGCTTTGCCCAGTCTGCCCTTTTTATCCACTACAAATCTGTAACCTCATCCTTCAAAGTAAAAGAAGTGGGCCATGTGGCATACTGAGTGCATCTGGCAGCCTCCACCCCTCTCCATCACTTTGAAAAAGGATCATGGACTTTCATATAAATCATGAAAAATGCAGGATTTATAAATCAGCCTGTTTCTTTTGCACCTGACATAGCCGTATTTTCATGAGGCTTGTTGGCCGTGCACAGCTGTCCGGCTGGCTGATAGACTGACTGGTTCAGCTGGCAGTGCTGAGGTCCATGTCAGAGGAAGCTACGAGTAGAAACTCAGGGTTGAGTGTTAAAGCGCTGAGGGCCAGAGCAGCAATGTAGCTTAAAAATATGGTCACAGTTCTGGACGCAGATGGGATAAACACAACTGAGGAAAGAGTGCTTTCATTGGGCCTTGCGGGGCACTGACTGGGAGACAGGAAACTTGGTTAGGTTTTATTCAGTTAAAAAGAGAGGGACATTGAGGAGAAGCCTGTTTTAAAGCTGATCATACTGAAAAGCACGGGGATGGAACATTTCTAACATTTCCCAAGTGCAGCAGTCATTTATTAAAGAAAATAAGTTAAACTGTATGAGAAGGACCTTTGTGCCCTGTTTGCCTGCCTATAGTATGCAGCACTGAGAAACGGCATGAAACAGACAGGGAGAAAAGCTCTCTTTTTTGGCAGAATCCACTACATTATGTGAATAGAGCTGGCCCTTGTCTTCACTGGGCTTAACAATGTTGCATAGCAGGACACTTTGTGTTGAATGACAGGCAGAGTGGGGTGATACACTCATGCTCTGCGCTGATCAGTTTCATATGACCTCGCCGGAACGTATTGGCTAATCTGATTATGGTATTGCCTGCCATATGTCAGACAATAACATCATTAGGAAAAGGAAGAAGGGGGGGATAAGAGTAGCGAGAAAAAAAAACCTCAGAGAAACACTTATGGCAGAATATGGAATGGATAGGGGTGTTTTGAAAGAGCTAACAATATATTTTATCACAGTGGTCAATGAAAAAAAAAAGAAGCTTTTAGAGAAGAGCCCACAGAAAGTTATTAGATCCATCAGCTGTAGATCGATATATTGCTTTAGGGGCATTGTTTTGGTTTTAATGCCCCACAACTTTACCATTTTGGTTTTAGTCACATGCCAACGTAAAAGCTTTTAAAGCACCAGACTGCAGACACAACAAGTCAATGGCTTGTGATAAAGATCTAGATAAATCCATGAGAAACTTGATTTTATACACATTTGAAAAGGGAAGTAACAATTGGACTTAATTAACCAGGTGGCCAGAATAAATGCTAATGCCATATATCTTTTGGATCTAAGTAAATGTCTCATGTTTATGGAGCTTATGTCAAAAAGGTGATACACTGTAGCATATGAAGTATAAGAGAACAAGCAACACAAATGCAAACTTAAAGAAAAACTAAGAGATATATATATATAAAATAGATATTGTGTAAAACATGAAAACAATATTATATTCACTCTCAGTAAATGTAAATGATATTCACAGACTGCAGTGCAAGAACATGAAGCAAACAAGATAATTGGTTACCTTATAATTACCATTACTAGTATCTGCATGATAACCACACTCATTAATAAGAGTTGAGCTTCAATAAGAAAGCATAGATTAAAGAGCCCGGATCATAATTAGTTCACTATTTGCAAACCAGGAAGGGCCAGACTTCACAGTGACCCATTTGAGGTCTTGTGATGTTCATTTATCTCTGTTAACATCTGAAGCGTGTTCAATTATCAGGCAACAAAAGGGCCATCTAGTAAACAGCTAAAGCGGCAAAATCCACAAAAGGATATTTTTTCAGATTAAAAGCTTTAAGCCTTCACTGTGAAGACAGTGCAGCAAAAAGCAAGTGTACCTTACTGTGTTATAGTCTCACATAGATATATATTGGGTTATCATATCAAACAGATACATCTAATGATGACTCGGGATGTTTGCTCAAACCCAGCTCAGGATATTAAAAGAAACAGTTCTTAATGTCCCTTTTGCAAGAACATTGAATTTAATAAAAAAGTGTGGACTGATGCCAGAAAATGTGGAATGTGTACGTGTGCCAAAATAATAATGTTGCCATTTGTGAATTCCTAGCTGAGGGGAATATAGGGACATAATCTCAGCGGGAATCGGTCCAAATTATCTCCACAGCAAAACTGGGCTATCCATCCCCTTATTCACCACTCAGCTCAGCTCCACACAGCTCAGCTCTCCTCCCTTGCGCTCCTGCTGAGTCGGGCATTTCTGGCTGTAATGCTTGAGCTAGTGATGGTTTGTGATGCAAGAAAACAAACACTCCTTACAAGTTCAGCAAAGTCTTGAAAACGGGATAAATGCATCTATCCTGAAAAGGTCCAACTATTATCTATGGTCTATTAGTGAATCACATAATCAAAGAGAGGCCATCTGTTTGCTGCTGCAAATGAAAGACTAAAAGGGATGACTAACCACGCTACAGACGTAGGTAATGCAATAATGCTAAAGCCTCCTTCAAAGCATCAGGCCAACAGCAGCAGCATCAACTTGGATTGATTCCAGTAAAAGGTGGCTTCACTTTAAGCTAACACAGAAATGTCCTTTACTGAAGAAAGAACAACATGTCACTGAAAGAGCAATTATACTAAATACAAACTGGTTTTAAAAAAGGCCAGATCAGCCATTGTGAAATTATGGAAATTGAAATTGACCAATGGGAATTTAAGGGAACCAGATAGGCTTCTGACCTTATTATGGCTTTGCAAATATTATATCGTATTGAGTGTTTAAGGCATTTTAACCAAATATAAGATACAACGGTTGAGATTATGAATAGAGGTTCTGCAAATAAGGAAACTCTAATCCTTCTCTCTGTAACCCCTGTGTCCGCTGGGTCCCTGATCCTTTGTCAGTCTCCTGTGAACTGGAGAGGATGTGGGTTTATGGGAGGGACAGCAGATCTCTTGAAATCCAAATTGGCAATGCTTCAGTTAACAGTGCACGAGGACCATGTTCAGGTCGAACAATGTGTCAAATTTGAGCCTTTGATCTGGGACACTCTCACTATCTCTGCCTTCCCTTGCGGCACAGAGAGAGTTAAAATGTAGCATGAGTGAGAGTATTCTCAGGCCCTTGTACAACTCTGCTGGGTAGTTTTTAATGTGTGGTCACAAGCCCTAGCCAGGTCGAGAACACAGCAGCCAACAAATACCAGGACTAGCATGGAGATTTTGGCAGGAAATGCTTATTTACTCGTCTACCTAGTTTATTAGATAACACTCCAGAGTGACAAAGTAGAAGTCCCTTTGTTTGCGTAAAACTGTTGTCTGCTTCAAAGTAATTGCTGTCACAGACACACACTTTTCAATCTCTTTCAAGGCATCTCTTTCTAGTTCTGTTTTTTGAAATCCAGCAACAGCAATGCCAGATGAAGGGCACACTGACAAAAGCTTCATGGTACTAAGATGATAAAAGCACTTATTTCAGCATTCACATCAAGGCAGTTCAAACATGAATCAGTGTGTTCAAAGTAGGATGGTTGTGATTTATAATAGCTCACCTGTTGTTGTCGTTGTGGAATTGCTGGAGGAAGTCCACCTGGAGTTGCTAGGCCGCCGCGTGAGGTTCAGATCCAGTCGGGTAAAGGTTCGATTGTTGCCGTTCTTGTCAATGGACTCTGTGAAGAATTTGGACTCATCTGTGTTGCTGGAGCTGGCTCGTTCATGGTCCTCATCTTTATCTGAGAGCATAACAATGCGGTGGTTCAGCTGTGGGCTTGCCTGCTTGGAGGACAGAGGGGACAGGACTGGGGACATGCTGTGAAGACTGTTGGAGGCGGGAAAAGACATGTTGAAGACCCCAGCGAGAGATGGTGAAGAGGGGCTTTTTTTGTGGTATCTGGCTGGTGGGTGAGGTTCAGTGGTATGGAAAAGGGGCAACCGTAGACCCTCAGAAAGCTTGTAGCCCATATTTTCTCTATTGAGACCCAGGAGGTGGTCCCCGTTTGGTCCCTTCCACTCTCCAAACCCCTGCTGGCAGCTGCTAGTTCCCGGACCTGGGTTTGAATGGTCGATATGTTGCACTCTCCCTTCCACATCCTGCACTTTGGTGACAACCCTCGGCCCAGCGTTACTCTGGTTGCTTTCACCATACAGCTGCTGAGGGAACTTGACTGTCAGGGAATTCTCAGATAATGGCTCACCCGAGGAATCAGACCCTCTTATTGGTCTGAGGTTGCTGCCGCTTTCCCGCCGGGTCAGACCCTCCATCAGGCTGCAGAAGGACGACTCATAACCCAGCTCACCGTCATACTCTGAGAAGTCATTGCAGAAATCAATGTCGGGGTCATATGTCCGGTTGTCTTCCATAAAGTCCCAAACCTCACGAGCAATCTGGAAGGGTTCCTCCATGGGCAGGATGGGGTTACTCACCGCACTGACATAAGAGCCGGTGACTGGGCTGTCAGTGACATGGCTCGAGGTCGGGGTACCTGGGATCTGCTGCATCACTGAGGTTGAAGATATGGACCCACTTTTGCAAGCACCAAGCTGTTTGGATAAACTTCCACTTGAAACTTTCTTCTTCATCTTATTGTGGTGTTGGAAACCCTCTGTGGGGTCAAGCTTCTTGCCTCCCAACTTCTTCATCTTTTTGCTCTTGGATGTGGCTCTCTTGTGCTCTGGAGACACGGTCAGAGAGTAGTTGCTGTTGCCGAGGTTTACTTCCTGACCTTCCATGTAATCCTGGAGTTTCCCATCCTGGTTACCCATTCTGACTTTGACGGCACAATCCCTACACAGCGATAAGAGATCTGCCAGCAACTGATGGTGCTCTGCCGCCAGCCAGCAGAGCTCTGCAACCGCCTCCTTTGTAGCCTGCTGGCAGATGAGGAGTTCGCCTGAGGAGCTGAAAGACTGGCCTCTTTGTTCGGACACTGCAAGATCCTCCTTAGCCCGGTCATGGTCATTACAGGCCCTTCCTGAATGAGAGGCGCGGCTCTTGTACTTGAAGCTAGGGGCCAGCCTCTTGGGAAAATACAGACTGATGTTGCTTAGTTCACGGATGGGTGCATAAAGCAGCAACACAGTGTGTGTGCCCTCCATGATGGGTGCCATGTTATGATCACTGGAGCACTGTGAGTAAGTGGTCAGCCACTCTCTGGCTATTCATCACCTGGCCTGTCCAGACACTGTCAGAGAGAAAGTAGCACATAGGTTACTGATCAGTAGATATGTCCAACAACATGTAAGTCTACTGGTCTACTTACTGTACAGTGACTTCAATTCGAAGATTCAAAGGTTTTATTGTCATATGCACAAAGCTACAGTGTAGAAATGGCAATGAAATTCTTCTGACCTGAGCTCCTCCAACAATGCAACATATATAATGAAATACAAAAATACAAAATAAAAAGTAGTGCAAAAAGTCTATATACATGTAAATAGAATATGATATGTAAAAGAAAAGAATATGAAATTAAATAATGTAAATGTAGACAAAATCAAATCCACTCAATCCACTCTGAGGCCAGACTGTTAACATATTGTAAAGTTCATGCTTTAAAAAAATGTAATCAACAAAGAATACGACACAGCTAGGGCTCTACAGACTATTTGTATGCTGATGCAGAGTTAGTTTGTAAGCATAACAATACAAACTGCTCCTCTACTACTCTACCTACAATGGGCCCTTCATATTTCACTGTCAAACCCATTAGTTAATTAAGAAGTTAATAAAATAAAATACTATAAAAATATGATTGTTTACTATCACTACATCTTATCTTCATCCTGCTCTTGGGCATTACGTAGAATAGATGATCACAAGCTGCTGCCGCATAAAACCTGAGTGTCCCACAAGGTGACGACACATGCAAAGCCCGATGGCAGGGCTGCCGTTTGAGATGTTTACAAGCAAAACAGGCACAGCTATTTACATGTGCTTCAATGGATTCCAACACTTGGCAACATCTCTGAACTGTTTACATCATAACATAATCCCGTGGGTTACTGTCACCTTGCAAAGAGCCCGAGTGCAGTTGTTGTGTAAAGATGGCAGCATATTGTACACTATCCCACGGGTGTAATGCTGTCCACTGCAACTACAAATCATGAAATGCTCTCTTTCATTTATTCTGAATTAAAATGTAGTCCATACATCTCGGTATTAGCATCATATCAGCTTCACTTCAATGTCGTATATTCAATTAGAAGGTGAAAGTACGTCACAGTCGATTGCACCTGCAGCAGGTAGAAGAGCAGCAGCACTTCGTAAAATATAAACAGTTACTTACCCGATTTAGTGGTATGGGAAATATTTCTTCACACATCTCTGTACTGCAGCCAGCCAGTGCTCACCGCTGCTTCACAGAAGGGCTCGTTTGTGGTGATTGACAGGAGTTTAGTCCAATAGATAAACTCAGCGCCGGCTCAACGCTATTTGATTGGTTCCTTAGTGTTTGTCACATCCCACATTTTGAGTCAGTGCAGCTGCAGCTCGCAGGTAGGCCATGTGATCGTTTTAAGTCAGGAAATCGTACAAATAGGGAACAAAGTTTGGCTGACGTTAATTTATTCAACAGTCGTAGCAGTTTCCAGTATTTCCGGGGCTAACATTTGCATAGTTACTCATGCAGAGAGGTAAGTGTGCGTGAAAGTACCTGCTCTATAAAGGCCCGAGGTGCTGCCAAACAGAGACACCTTGTGGTCATCTAGTTTATCGCTGCCATACACTGTTTCAATTCGTAAGAGGGTTTTCTTAAATAATACAGTGTTCATCTCTGCCAAGGACGTTATGTTCTGAGTCCAGTGTTGTTTTTATTCCATGGGGCTTATCATCTTAAAAACGTACATAAATTAATCATTTCTGTCATATTAAATTATGCTCTTATTTACATAATACATAATACATTTACATAATAATATTCACTGAGTAACCGAGTTGGCTACAGACAGAACAAACCAGAGCCGTATACATATGGAACAAGGAATCAGGAAAAATGCATAGACATGTATACCAACATATAGTCTATACACGAATATACGGAGATATACATGGTGAAAACGTTTTGTTTGGTTGTTGAATTGCTTTTGTTACCTCACTTTATAGGCCCTCATTAGATTTTTTATTTTGATTAATAAAGTTTAGCATATTATTGTAGGTTGTTATAGGATACTGTGTTAAGACTTGTAATATTATATTTTAGGAGGAATTGGATTTACAGAATAACGTTTTATTATTATTCAACACTATATTTATTCCATTATCATTCAAATTACTTTTACTATTGTTTTATATATATTTACTATGTTATTTGTGTAACCTTTAAGTTGCTATTTCATGTACCTTTCGCCTAAGATCCCAAATGTCCTACCTTTCATTGTTTTTAGGGGATGGGTATAATTGTAACAGAGTCACAGTAATCTGTGCAGATGGTCAAGTTGGTGTTTATTTAAAGAAGATTATTTAATGGAATATTGTTGTCCACTTATTTCCCATATAGGCCAAAGGCAATTGAGAGCGCTACCAACCAAGAAAGTAGGTTTAAACATCAATTAGTTGAATAAAGTACTTTCAGTGAATAATTAGGCTATACTGAAATGTGCATGTTATCATTACCCTGGTTGTTTAAAGGTCTGTCAATTGGGCAGTAGACACAGGATTGGAGGATGATGATGTCTAATCATTAAAAGAGGAATAACACATGATTTATCTGTGGGTGTATGGATAGAGGGGAGAAGGTTAGGATATTGATACCAAATTGAGGAAATGAAAGAAGGAAACCTGCACAATTAGGAAAGCATGTGTTTTGTCACCATGTTGACACCAGAGGGCGCCATTGCATTATGATTAGGGAGTAAATGTTTGTTTAATTTAGTTGGAGAGATGGGTAGGCTTGGCTGGGCTCAGGGTCAGCTCAGCTTTTAATACTATTCTTCCCCAAATTATGTTAAAAAAGCTCAAACAGATGGATGTGAACCCTTGCTTAATCAAATGGTATCACTCCTTCCTAACTGAAAGACAGCAGCAGGTGAAAGTAAACTCGACCCTCTCTGACACACATGGGCACCACAAGGCTGCGTTAGCTCTCCTCTTCTCTTCACACTCTACACAAATGAGTGTAGGAGTCACCACACACACAACCACATTATAAAGTTTTCTGATGACTACTGACTAGAGACTCAGACATTTCTATTTATAAACTTGAGATTGAAGAGGTCGTGGTGTGAGGCACACAACCTGGTGTTAAATGTGAAAAAAACAAAGAAAATGATCTTTGACCCCAAGTCAGTAGGTGATCACAGCACCGTCCTTATCAACAGGGAGGGAGTTGAGCAGGTTACACGTTTTAAATATTTGGGGATTTATTTTGAAGCTCAGTTAGGCTGGGCCCATCAAGTGGATCAGGTATGCTCAAAGATAAACCAGCGCCTGCATTTTCTGCGTAGGCTCAGGGTTCATGGAGTGGATAAATGTTAATGTTCTACAGGGCAGCAATTGAGTCTATTATTCGTTATGGCATCACAACATGGTTTGGTAACTTGTCAGTTAAATCTAAATCACAACTCCAGAGCTTGATAAAAAGGGCTGGAAAAATAATTGCCATGCTTCCACCATCCTCTCTTCAGGAGATATTTGAGGAGATGGTGAGAAAGCAAGGCTGTAAAATCACATGCGACCCCAAACACATCCTGTATAGAGAGTTTGAGTTGCTGCCCTCAATATTTATTCCATTATCATTCAAATTACTTTTACTATTGTATGGGCAGAAGGTATAGATTACCAAACTATAGATTGAACAGGTATAAGTTTTCCTTTGTTCCGCTGTCAATCAAGCTGCTGAACAGTCAGAAACAATTGTGATTATGCTGTGTTAGGAGTTGTTGGGAGGTGCAATGTTTACAGTGTAGTTTGTGCAATCGAGAAGGTTAAATAGGAGAAGTGCATTATGTGTAAATAGGTATGGACACAATAGGGATATGTGCAATTTGACGGACACTGACTATGCATAGGTGCAATAGGGAAAGTGCAATATTGATTTGTGTATGAATACAGTAGGGAAGGTGCAATATTTGATTTATGTATAAATACAATAGGGAAAAGTACAATATTTGATTATGTATGAATGCAATAGGGATATGTGCAATAGAGGAAGTGCTGTACCTGTATGTTTCTTGTTTGTTTCTTTGCCATGTGATATGTGATCTCTGTTCTGTATCTATGACTGATTGACCTGAATGTTTTATGTGTATTATCTCGATGCCCAAGACAAATTTCTCCTAAGGGAGACAATAAAGCTCTATCTTATCTTAACTCATTGACCAGTGAGACACCAAAGACCAGCTGATAACTGTTGTCACTGCGTGTATTCAGTCCACAGAAAGAGTTAAAATAACTTACATTGCATTTTTTATTCATACATTTCATGTTAAATAAGTCAATGACCTTCATCCAATGATAATGTTTTAAATAGTTTATCATGTGAACATTTAAATGTCAGTTTTGCCGGCTAACCCTGTCTTTGACAGCTGCTCTATTTATGAAATGAAGGGAAACTCAGGTTTACGCAGAAATAACCTTTTTCCGTTCACTTAATTAATTGGAAAACAACATAATAATAATAATAATAATAAATAGCTACATCATAGCATACACCTTTTGCAGATTATATTTCATGTTAACATTTATATTGTAGAAATGTGTGTCTATATTGGATGATATTTGCTATGCTTTAGGTCTGCCTTTTTCCCTTCAGCAGTGGTAACAAAACATTTTCTGTGTGGAAATATGTGTACACTATTGCTAAACCTACTATATTGACTGTGTTAACAGACATGTCTGTGTGCTGGGTGCTGACCATGGTGCTGATTTGGACCAGCACTGGAAACAGCAGTTACCATGAATGTCCTGCACACTGAACACTCACATTTCGATACATTTTCACTTAGCATTATTTATTATTGCGTAGCTCGGGGTTAGTGCAGGAAAAACAACCGCGGACGAAATACCTGTTCGATATTGCATCGCGTTCAATGCTCTGATGTTTGAATATTCGCGCTTTCACGGGTTGTATTCATAAGGAGTGACGTCAGAGATAAAGACCCCGCTGCTGTTTCTCGGCTACACGACTCGGCTCCTCGCTGTCTCCCCGCCACACCGCCCCCAGTCGCTCCACCGATGCTCTGACACACACTCCTCCTCCGGGCGGTGTGCGGGGCTTGAGCACAGGGGCTTGAGTGACACATGCTGCGGTAGTCTCTCCGCTGTATGGCCGTGGATTAGCTATATGCTAATATCGATAGGGAAGAGGAGCCAGCGGAGGCTTCCCGAGTCTGAACAGGCTCCTTTGCAGCCATGGCTGAAGGTGGAGAAGGAGAGGATGAGATTCAGTTCCTCAGAACTGTAAGTACATTTCCTTCCGCTTGTACTTGAAACGCTGCTCTGGCGACTGGAAATATGTGTAGCTCTATTTCATGGTGCGTGTGGGGTTATTATAACAGTGTATTGCCCACTTGGCTTTCCTCCCAGATGTGAATGTATCCCGTAGCCTTTGATAACCCCCTGCTTTCTTGCAGATGTTAGAGGCGGTGATAGTGCTCCATTGTTTTGCGCATCGCTCACTGACAGCTATTGTCTTTTCTGCAGTCTCCGTTTAAAGAAGTTGACAACACCAAGTGCCATGTTAAACTTACATGCAACTTACTGTAGTGTCTACGAGTTCACAGGTTGACGGTGACACTGTGGTTTACCTTAGTCTTTAAATAATATAATTAAAAGGTGGGTTATTGTGGCATCACTTAAATATTTTTTTAAGATGAAAGGAGTTCTGACCCAGTGTGCTTGCTGTGTTTATAATATATTCAAATGTGGTAGCCTGGCAGTATGGGCTGACAGTCCAGACAGTCACCCCAGGGTGCCTGAGCAGCAGCAAATGTCAATGCAAATAGGAACTGAAGAAAACATTTGGCAATAAATATGGTATTTCTGCTCAAAAGCTGTGTTTCTGATGCTGTCTTACCTGTTGGACATAGGGCCAGTGTAGACAGACTGTATTATATGCATAAAAAGAGGCTATCATTTAGTATTAAACAAGCTCTAGCCTTTGTTTTCTTGGCTCTTGTAGTACACTACAGTGAAAATATTTACAACTTATTAAAAATGCATTTCCTAAGCTGAAAATGTATGTTTAAGATCGGAAAATGCCTGGTTTTACAGCAAGGCAGTACACTATCCACTGTTGACATAGATAGATGGTGACATGATTTGCTCATCTACGATGAAATGCATTGAGAGGCATATCATGTCTGAAAAGACACGCTCGCCTAGGACAGATGAATGAGCAGAGCGCTGGAGGTCCTCCAGAAGACCCAGAGACAGTAGGAGGTGTTTGTTTGCAGATTTCTCTGGCACTGCTGCTTGTGTGGTTTCACTTTATTAGGCTGCTCACAGATGCACAACCTGCTGTACTTCTGATAAATGTAGGATGGATGTTCTTTTTGTTTAAGTTTCAAAACACATTTGACAAGGAAACACCTCTCTAGTAATCTCCTAGCGATCAAGTGTAGTTTAACCTTCAAATAAAAGAACAGGCTTCATAACACTACCTTAAGGTATCCAATGAATAACATGAAAGTGATTGATTCTTGACTAACTCAGTGTTTCAGCACTGAAAGGCTTGGCGGTGATCTTTAAAATGTCCCTTTCTTTCACTCCGACAAGCCGATACCTTCTCCTCATTTGTCCTTCAGCCCACCCAACCTTTAACCATGGCACATAGAGGTCACCACATCAGCATGCCTGCCGCTCCAGAACGAGAGCTGACATTTCAGCACCACTTCTCCTTTTTCTGAGCTTGAACTGAAATGCCCCCTATTCACACAAGGTTTTTCTTTTATAAATCAAGAACAAGCTTTATGTGGGTTATGAGTTTAATATGTCTTGCTTGTATTGGTCTCATTTGTATGAATCACAGGGAGAATTTTTCCCAGATGTAACCGGGGAAGAATAATTGAGATGACATTGACAAAAGGAAACGGCTGTTGCTTTAAAAAGGGCTTAGCAGCAGCTTGTTGCATCCCTCCACACAAGGAAGTGACAGGCTGGATGGTGGTGGAATGGGGGGGAGCAGCGTTGTGTGTGTGTGTGTGTGTGTGTGTGTGTGTGTGTGTGTGTGTGTGTGTGTGTGTGTGTGTGTGTGTGTGTGTGTGTGTGTGTGTGTGTGTGTGTGTGTGTGTGTGTGTGTGTGTGTGTGTGTGTGTGGTGTGTGTGTGTGTGTGTGTGTGTGTGTGTGTGTGTGTGTGTGTGTGTGTGTGTGTGTGTTGTGTGTGTGTGGTGTGTGTGTGTTGTGTGTGTGTGTGTGTGTGTGTGTGTGTGTGTGTGTGTGTGTGTGTGTGTGTGTGTGTGTGTGTGTGTGTGTGTGTGTGTGTGTAGCTGTGTGGTGCAGTCAGGCTGCACCAGACGTGCCACAGCAGAGCACAGTGCAGAAATTATTCATTAGTCCTAGCAAGGCACAGTTGAAATACTCGGTGTAGAGGAACAGAACAGATATACACATGAGTATGTACATGCACACATTTATCTACATGGCTTTGGTCAGTCCTGCAAAAACAAATGCTCAGTTGCATGCACATAATGTCTATTCAAAAACATACATGCATATACACATGCACTGCAATGTCTCTAAACCTGCTTTACATTGGTTGCACTAAGTGGCAGGCAGTTTGTGAGGGGATGTAGAGGCGGTATATTCTCTTGCCGGCATCCAAATGTTGCTTGTTATTGGAGTCAAGGAGCTTGATAAAGCAGTTTCACAAACTGCGTTTTCTCCAACAGCACAAAGTAATTTCCCTGGAGTGGAGCAGAAATTACCCCTGCCGGACTGCTGCCTATAAAGCCAACTCAGTGGGAGTAGGGGAAGGGAAGAGAAGAGAGGGAATGAGCGAGGGTATGAGCGAGGGTATCTCGCCATGCCATGGGTAATTTGATGTTGCAGGAAGAGGAACGGTGCAGATTGTGAGCCAGG